ATTAATAACCCTGTTATAGTAATTTTAAATGTTGTATTTTGATACATTTTTATTTGAGGTCATTAATAAATTAACTTTAAATACTGTAAATTCTGATTTTAAAACATGTAATTTAATATAATATGTGCCAAATCTGTAAAAATATATGCATTTCAGAGTGTGGGATCTGTTAACATTAAAGTATAATCAAAGAATATAGTTTAGGTTACTTTTCTCCAAGAACCTTATTCTTCCAGTTATCATTCACTGTAAATGTGTATTTGTTAATAAGACAAATTCAGACAATTCGTAGAATGCAAGGAGTAAGGAACATTTCTAACAGAAATATAGTCCAAAGTTTTTGTCATTTAGTTAATACCCATGTGTTAGTATGCTAAACAAATTCATATATAGTTACTAACAAAATGTGCCAAATCTGCTTTGAAATTTTTGAGAGCCCTCAGAATTTCAAAAACTGGTTTTCATCACAAAGAGCAAATGTGTATAGTCACTGTGCACCATCTTGTGGTTACATCTAGAAATGCATCTTTGTAGAAGTTCAAGGACTAAAAAAAGCAACTCCTTACATTTTATTGAAATTATTCTCTACAAATAGTTATCAGTCTTGACTGTTAACCGAAACGTTGGAGGTTTGCATCCACCCAGAGGTACCTTGAAAGCAAGGGAGGGTGATATGTTTCTGAAAAATCAGCCATAGAAAACCTTAATGAGCACAGTTCTACTCTGACACACATGAAGTAACTAGGAGTCAGAATTAATTTGAGGGCAACTGGTATAGCCTTTATTGCAAAACAACAACCTGTGAGGCTTAAACTACCTCTTAGACTCTCCAAACCAAAGTGACTGCCATCGAATCAATGCTCACTCATAGTGACCGCCCGGAGGGTATGAGTCTGTGACTGTTTTATGGGAGTAGAAAGCCCCATCTTTCTTCTGGGGAGCTGCTGGTGGTTTTGAACTACCGACCATGCAGATCAAAGCCCACTGCACTACCAGGGCTTCTCTTCTTAGACTACTCACCCCCAAAAAGAGGGACTTTCTTTAAATTAAATTAATTCTTTGGGGATCTCTAAGGCAGCTATTATAACTATAAAGGCAGAATGGTTGGTAGATCAGGTTCTGGGATTAGACTACCTGATTTGGAACTTGTTGCTACATATTAACTGTAGATTTGCTAAGTAGGTTTTGTAATTATATTAATAAGTAGCCTATTAACTTGGGTATGTCATTTAGTATTTTTATTGATTAATTTGATTATCTTTGAGATGAAGATAAGACTATTATAAGTAAACAACCAAGGATGATCAGTTACTTGAAAAACACCTGGAGCAGGAAAAAAAAATCCAGAAAATAGATGATAAAGCAACAATGATTCCAAATGAAATAAAATTCAAATGGAATTCTAATTAGTGATTTTGAGAAAATTGAAGATTTTCTTGAAGCAGAACAGGATGTTATTTTTAAAAACTATTAGAGAACAAAAGAGCTCAGGGAAGTAAAAATTATGATTGGCAAGGGAAAAACAAAAACAAAAAACTAGATGGCTAGAAAATAAAGTCTGTGATCTAAATGAAAACAAAAAGCTAAAGAGTCAGACAACAGACAAGAACATCTACATCAATATCTAACTGATAAATGTTCTAAGAAAAGCAAACTAATCAGAAGAAATGATTTGAGAAAATTTCCTAGAACTGAAGTGAGATATGAATCTACACAACAAAAAGTGAATGAAAGAAGATCTACAAATGAGGTATAATTGTAATATTTCAGAACATCATGTGTAAAGAGAAAATATATCAAAATAAGGCAAAAGAACTGATGAGAGCTGACCTTTCAGAGGATTAATTAAATAACAGTGCATACAATAAATAGTAGCATAGTAGGAGTGTATTTCAGGAAACTACCTTTAGTCTAAGTGAAAGATAATTAGAGCATGGATGTGGCAAAACTTCTTAATTACTGAGTCATGACACATTTTAAAAAGAGTAATGGCCTTCCGTGAAAAGAATACACAGCTACTGTACCAAAAAGAACTAGTTGACACTCCACCATTTAAGGAGGCAGCATATGAGCAAGAACCAGTGGTGCTAAAGAAAGAAGTTCAATCTGCACTGAATGCATTAGCCAAAAACAAGGCTCCAGGAATTGATGGAATTTCATCTGAAATGTTTATTAGCCAAAAACAAGTTTTAAAACAAAATGAAATTAGCCAAAAACAGGTTTTCACATCAGGAAAGGTATGAATCAGAGCTGTATCGTCTCTTGTTCAATCTGTATACTGTACTGAGAAAATAATTAGGGAAGCTGACTTATATGAAGAAGGGTGTGGCATCAGGGTCAGAGGAAGGCTTATTAACAACCTACAATATGCAGATGACACAACCTTGCATGCCATAAGTGAGGAGGACTTGAAGCACTTGCTGATGAAGATCAAGGATTGTAGCCTTCAGTATGTATTGCAACTCAATGTTAAGAAGACCACAGTCCTCACAACTGGACCAATAGGAAACATCATGATAAATGGAGAAAGGGTTGACGTTGTCAAGGATTTTGTCTTACATGCATCCACAATCAATGCTCATGAAAGCATCATTCAAGAGATCAAAAGATGATATACAGTAGATAAATAGGATGCACAAAGCATTTTTAGAGTATTCAGAAGCAAAACCTTTTTAGAGTATTTTGTCGACTAAAGTATGCCTGGCGCAAGTCATAGTCTTTTTCCATTGCCTCATATTCAGTTATACACTGAATAAGGAAGCCTGAAGAAGAATCAATGCATTTGAATTGTGGTGCTGGTGAAGAATATTGAAAGACCATGGACCACTAAAAGGACAAACTGATCTGTCTTGGAAGAAAGTAAGGTCCATAGTGCTCCTTAGAGGCAAGGATGGCAAGACTTCATATTACATACTTTGGACATATTGTCAGGAGAGATCAGTCCCTGGAGAAGGACATCATACTTGGTAAAGTGGAGGTGGCAGAGACAAAGAGAAAGGCCCTCTATGAGATGGATTGACACTGTGGCTGCAAAAATGGGTTTAGGCATAAGAGCAATTGTGAGGAAGTTGCAGGACTGTGTGTTGTCTCATTTTGTTGTGCATAGGTTCAGTATGGGTAATAATCAACTCGATGGTACCTAACAACAACAGCAGCAACAACAGCCATGACTTTCCAGCCAGAAACAGCAGAAACACAACTGTATTTGAGGAAAGTTAGGCTTATTTAACTTGGTATAGCAACCCACCACTGTACATTTTTAACAGAGCAGAAAGCCTCATCTTTCACTCTTAAAGTTGTTGGAGGGTTTGAACTGACAAGGTTGCAGTTAGCAGTCTGACCCTTACCCATTGTAGCAAAGGAGGATTCAATACTAGAACTATAGATCATATCAGGGATTGAGGAGAAGTTTATTCTAGGAATTCTGTTGTATGAGCTGCTTCTAAGAGGATTAAGAAATCAGAAGTCAGGTCTAGATTGGGTATTCTCAGAAAGCATTGGATGTACATTGGATGTTTTGGTACATTTTATCTTGGATGTGGAAAGATTTTTTAAATAATTATTTTTATTAGATAAAGGGAATGTTTATTTATTTTAGTGGTTCTTCGGTGTCCTTGTCACTTTCAAGTTTCAGAAATAATTATATGATTGTCAAAACTCTGTTATCTTCTATTGTCACAGAATAATTTTGTCTGAATATTGTTTATATTCCGCCAAAATTGTTTTTGCTCAGTAGGAGACAGAGTGCGTTTGCTATCATCTTTCTTTCAACTGCTGGTGATGTTTTGTTACCACATCAGTCTGCAATGTATTCATGTGCTCAAGCATCAAGGAAACCAGCCTCACAGTTGGTCTCATATAGTAAGCAGTCTCGTCCATTTGCCACTGGGAGCCATGCATATATTATTCGTATTTCAATGTGATATGATTTGAAAGGGATGATTGAGCAATGACATTGAAAGTGGAGAATAAAGGACCATGAAACATGGGAAATTTTTCAAAGCTATCCATTCCCTCTAACCTTTCTAGTTGACGTAAAATCCGGTTCAGCAAAAAATAAGCTGATTTCTATACCTCCTGTCTATGATTTGCTCCTTTGGGGTATTATGCCTTCTACCTAGAATATTAGAAGTAGTGAAGTAGTTAGGAACTTAGCTAGTAACTGAAAGGTCATCAGTTCAAACTCACTAGCCACTCCATAGGAGAAAGCTATAGCACTCAGTTTCTATAATGATTTAAAATCTCAGACACCCACTGAGGCAGTTTTACTCTCCCCTATAGAATTACTTTGAGTTGACATTGACCTTGGATTTAAAATATTATTCCCTCACATATCCAAACAGTGTCCTTCAAAAAATATTTCAAATGTCTCTTTCCTACCCCATGTCACAATTAATGAAAGCTAAGATGGAAATGCCTACTTAAACTATAATAATTGTAGAATACATATTTAGATATATTAATTTTAACTTAAAGGAATCAAGTTGGAAGCAGTCTCTCCTTCCTATTTATGTAGCAAATTTCTCATATTCCTAAAGCACATAATTCAAAAACCAAGAAAAAACCGGAAAAGCCTGCCCAACAAAAGCCGGCAAGGGTGACATAAAAATGCCATGAAGGTTTCTTCTCGGGCTCTTCAGACTTAAGTATAAAGCAGCAGATATGTTTCAGAATGCTACCTTTATTTGCACCTCATTCAGAAAACATTACGGGTATTCCCTCATTGTTTATTTATATTACCATAATGATTGAGAGAAGATTAAAGGTGGCTAGATATTCCTGGTGAAAAACTGGGATGAGGTTAGTAGTGGAATAGGAACTGTTGTCAGAAATATCTTTATATGTTTTTACAGTTATATATTGAATGGATTAACATTTGAGGAAGCATGGAAATCATAATTTTTGGTATCATCTAAAAGAAAAGATAAATGGATAAAAACAAGTTAAGTCACACTTACAGTAGCAGATGTAACAAAAATGTTTGTTTTTCTTATATTTAGGGATGACAGCCCGCAAAAAACTAGGAAACCGGGAGTGTAATCATCACTGTAAAAATAAGCGTGCATGTGGACATGATTGCTGTGAGTTTCATAAACCAAGTTTATTTCAGGCTTTGAAAACATCAGGCCTAAATATTAATGTATTATATTTATATGTATATCTTTATAACCCACAATTAATTTCCTTCTATGGGGAAAAAAGTAAATATTTGATTTGAAGAAATTTGGCTGTATATGAACAATACCTAAAGTTTAACCTAAAGAATTTTCATAGGTAAAATTGGAGTTGCACTGAAGTCAGGAATTAAAGAGCCAACAATTTCTTTATACTTGTCCGATTTAAGAAACAGGAATGCTGTTTCATCTCTTCCTCCAGTTAAGCGTCTCAAGGTTAGTTTTAGTATTCATCTCCCTTGGATTTGTAATTAAATGTATCTGAAAAGTCTTTTGTTTATGTATCACATAAGTATCTATAGTATACTTGAGAATTATTTATGGCCATTAACTAGGAATATGACCCTTATTCACAATACTAATAAGACATTTTTAGTTCTACAGAAGAACACCATTTTCCTACTTTTAAACATAGTTACATAGTTCCTGTCTTCATCAACTTTTTTTTTTTTTAACCAGAACAAGGGTGTGTAGCTTGGCTGGGTTCAGCAACAGCAACTTGACACTCTTGCCCTTTTCTGGCTCCATTAGTGCTGGAAGTCTGAAGCTGATATTTATTCATGAACCCAGATGAGTCCTGAACATGAACCTCCCTTGCCAGTAATGATAAAATGAGAGTTGCTACTGGTTGACAGGCTAAACACTTACTTACCTTTAACCTAAGGCATCATACCCAGGACAAAGTTGTTGATCAGGACAGAACAGAATCACAAAAATGAGAAAATGCCCATTTCTTTTCTAGGGCATTTATAGAATGAAGATTCTAAGCTGTAACACTAAAACAAAGGGAATGTTGTGAAACAGGGAGAGTCGTGAAGTTTAAAATGACCACCACCAACTCTGAGTTTCTGGTTGTTTGTTTTAGTAGCCCAAGTCTTCTCTGCCTTCCTTTCTGCTGTCCTTCCAGCCTTTCGTCTTCCAGTATCATTGATCACCATTACAGCCCAAGCACTAAAAGGGCTAAGATACAGTGATAAATGAGACAATTTTATAAAGGTTACAGTGGAAAAATGAAGATAAGTAAACAAGCCTTTTTACTATAGAGTGGTAATCGCTTCTGTGACAGCAAAATGTAAAATGCTTGTGTTTTGATAGAAAATCTACTAAATCCATATTTGGTGGACCAGGAAGGGATACTTAGCAGATATGATTAAGGCCTGAAGGGCGTTTAGACATAAGTCAACTATGGAGGAGTACTAGGTGGACGAGTATTCCAAACATAGAGAGTGTGCAAAGGCCCAAAAGTGTGAGGGAGGGTGAGAGGAGGAGGAGAAAGATAAAGATACAGAGAGGAGAGAAGAATTTTTAAAAGAACTGAGTAATACCGTATATCTAGAGCTCAATTATAAGTAGAGGAAAAAAGACAGATGAAGCCAAAGAAATAAGCAAGAACTAGACTATGAAGACCTTATTGCTATTGTAATGATTTGGGTTTTCTTCTTAAAAGTATTGAAAGATCAATGAAGGACATCATGCAATGACATGATCAGAAATGCATTTTATATAGTTCACTCTGGCCACAATGTGGAGAATGATGATGGATGATGGAATAGGAACATAGAAAATCATTAGGTGGTTTTTGCAATAATACAAGCAAGATGATGACCTAGTTTAGGGTATTAACAGAATGGAAGGCAGAGTAATGAGGAGAAGTAGCTAGAGTCTTAAAATATTTTCAGAGGTGGAATCAGGTGCC